TTTCTAATTTTGTTTTTTAATTTGGAAACGGGGGGAGGGGGTGGGGGTGACCGGGCCTTCTGGTTCTCCCTTGAATCCGCCACTGCATGGGAACGGGCATGGAAAGAGCCAAACCAATATTTTTTTATAGGCGCCGCTCTCGAATAAGCGCCGCTCTCAAAATAAGCACCGCACAAAACTCCAAAAATTTTATAAGCGCCGAGGCGCTTATTCGAGCATTTACGGTACGTGCCTTTAGACTAAAACGACGTGCGAATTAGTAGTAGCCCTATTCAACATCGGACTCATTCACCAATGTATGTAGTCCGCATGATATTTAATTTGAAAAAAGATCTTGTTTTTTTCTGAGTGTGCATGGGAAAATTTACTGAATCAAATATTAACGAGAAAATACAACTACTAGTGGGGGGGGGGGGTGGTGGGTGGAGAAACCACTGATCATAGTGATGAGATTTGAACCGCATTTGACAAGTATTGCAAAAAATATTTAAAATGTGCTTGGGATAAACGCTCATATTTGAAACTGGATTGATTTACATTGTTGCTTTAAGTTTTCTTTTCTTTGTTCTATTTAATAGGCCTACTTGTTAAGCCTTTTGTCTATGTTGAATTCTAGTTTAGTATTCGTAGGTACTTTGTTAAGCTTTGTCCAAATTGATTTTGTTTTCTTTAACTTAAGCACTTTAGTGTTTAGTTTTTTTTATGTTTTTTGTTTTTTTGTTTTTTTGTTTTTTTGTTTTGTTTTTGTTTTTGTTTTGTTTTTGCTTTATTTACTGCTTAAATCTTTCATAATTTAAGATTCACTGCACCACTTAATTAATTGTGTTGCCCCTGTTTCAAAAGTTAAATGTCGAATAAATTATAATATTAATTAGTATTACGTCCCCTTTCCGTCGAAAACGACGTGCGGGTTTGTAGTAGCATTGGACCATTGACGATCACGTCGTCGAACCCTCAAATGCCTGGAGGCCTTTTACTTCCACAACCGTATGTTGATCGACTTACTAATCTAATGTAGGCCATAATTGTTTTCACAGCTTGAATTTAAAACAATTAAATATTAATCTTCTGAGAGATACTCTTTAGATTTCCTGTTTTTTTATTAGTCCATCCAATTGATATTTTAGCTCACAATCAGCAATATATACGAGATGTAGGCTAATTCCAAACCAAAGGCGCTTCCGTAATTCGAACAGGGATGTCGCCAAAGTGTCTTTATGTCTTGAGTCAAAATCTTACCGTATGTTGGCCTAAGTTTCCACTATCAGGAAGAAAAATGTTATATCAGAATACCGTATACCAAAATACAAACATCTTTTCATTATATGTAATTTGAAATAGGCACTCTGATATCAAAATAAACCTTTTTAAAGCAATTTGAGCTTCTGGATGTGGGAGATGATTTGACTGTGAGATGTGGAATAAAGAGGTTGTGTGACGACATGCCGCTCGTATTAATTGCTGGCTTACATTTAGATAAAAATAATTCTATCTACATTCGAATTTTGTATGCATACGTCAGCTAAGATGCATGTTACACGCACTTGAAGTTAAAGGTAGGATGATTGTGACGATGATGATAGCGATGATGTTATACATGATGATGATAATGATCACGATGATTATGACGCCACAAAATAATAATCCGAGTAGGACCTACAAGATTTCAACAAAATTTATGTAAGCTTTTATTGGTTTTTACATCCTATAATATATTTGCCAACATATATCTATTTTAAAGCATTTACTAAGCAGTCAAATTGTCTAGAAGGTCTGTTCATGCCCCAATTATGTTTGTTATGGCCCCATTCACAACCTTGTTTAGGGCTAAGTGTTATCATTTATTTAGTCTATATTTGAGAGTACCATAACAATAATAAATTACATATAGGCCCCCAAACCTACCCAGTGTCAGTAGTTTACTATAGTTGAACACATTTCATTCCTTATAGTTTCGGTAGAATCTGTGTTGCTTGTGATTGACGCGCACGTATCCACCAACATAGTGTGTCCCTCAAGACTTGCTGGAAGGGTACAGCACCTTTTAAGTAAAAGTATAAAGTAGTAAACACAATCAATTCGTGTTTACGTTTCGCATTTGGGCAGTGATCGGAAAAGGTGAACATAAATAGATTAACAAGGGGTGAACAAACGCCGTGATGAGTTTCAGATGATTTTTTCGTTAGAAATATGTGAGGTGATCATAGCAAACAGATGACGTTAATCCGGTCTCATCGAGTAGCCAGTGTCTTGATGAGGGGTCCACGAGTTGCGCATCATGTCAGAGTGTTGACACCTAACCAGAAACGGATTTGGTTCCAAGCCTTGCGGAGCTTCAGGGAATTCAGGTTTTGACCTGAGGACAGCTCAAATACTGGTGTTTCTGCCGTAGGCTCACGAATTACCTAAATCCACGAGTAGTTATGTATAGGCCTAGCAATTGACATTAGGCCTAATGATCAATCGGTACCACATAGGCATTAATGAGTGTATCAATTTCAGAGTTTCATCGATTCAGACTTGGCCCAATGGCTTCATTTGCACAATTGAGTATAAACTTTCAAAAGCTGTACACTGTCAGCTTTACCTCTTCGTTGGGGGCTGGGGGACGTAGAGCCCCAGGGGTACAGTGTCATCCCATTCGCTCCGGCGTTTTGACCTTTTAATGATGTATTTTCAGATGCTTTTTACGCGTTATTTTCAAAGGGTGGCGCTTGGATGATGTGGGGGTGGGGTTGGCATGGTAGTGTGGCAAAACAAATGGCGATTAGTAGGCCTATCTTGCAGCCCCATAAAAACTGGGACCCCTGGCTTTAGCCTGTAAGAGATAGGCCTAGGTATTACGATGAGTAGCCTATATTCACACAATAGGATTTAATTTGTAAACAATTGCAGACCCGTCCCCATTAAACCTAACGGTAGTAAATTTGTTTTGTTTATGTGACATCGTACTGGAAGCATCTTTTATGAGCTATATCAGATGACAAATAAAAGAACTTGAATTTGAACTAACCATGGCGAACAAATTCTTCCAGCATCGTAAGGGTAAGAACCCAGGCTTACGTACACGTGCCCCACCCCAGGGTGGGGTGGGTTGGTTGTTCTGTATTGTTGCCGGATCCGTCTGTACTTTATGGAAAGTTCTACAAATAATATGCCTACTCCAGAATTAATTCAAACATTTTATTCCTATACAACATTAAATTTCATTAAGCTGTGTACTAAAGATTGCCTCGAAAATTAAGGTAGGTCTATCAAGGTTGAGAATACGAAACTTAAAATAGGCTAGAGGTGGTTACTACTAAAGTACTGTCAAGCGTCAATGTTTATGTAGAATAAATGTCATTCTTAACGTGCTGTTCCTGTGTTCAATAAATAGTAGCCTACGGCTGCTCGTTCAAGTGTTTATATTATATAAACAATAAAGCTCCTCAATAAAACTGCTATTGCTACGGTAAAAACATAAATTTAAAAAAAAAACTCTTTAAGGCTCTTTCGCCACCCCGCCCATGAGCGAATTATTTAAGAAATAGATTTGTTAATTAACATGTTTCGGATAAGAAACGTCTTTAAATTGATATTATTTTAATATTTGTTCAATTCAAATTTTATTTCGGAATCTATCCATATACCAATATAAACAAGAGAAACAACTTAATCAACAGTAAAAGAATGCCATACTGAAAAAGACAAACGAATTGCATTGCTTGAGACACGGAATTTTAACCAATGATCCTAAATTGGAAGGCAGGTAATTTAACCATGGAGGAAAACTTATTTCTCTATGATTTAACCAACAAGCCGTTGCCGTATTTAAAAGAAAAATAATTAACGGTAGAGTAAAAAGCGCATGAAAATCTATTGGTTAGATATTTATTTATTCAAATTTCTGCCAAGCACAAAACAACAAACAAATTTACAAAAACATGGCAAGGATATAAAGTATTTCTCCATCTAACACGCATATTTGGATTTATTAATAATATTCTTGTATATACATTTAATCAGTTGATTATCATTTGTCCTGATTCTTTCCATGAAACCAAAGTGGATTTTCTCAATTATTCAAAAAATGACGGCATGTTAATATAAGTGATAACCTAAGTGGTCATGTAGTAAGCCTAAGTGTTAAACACTGTAAAATGTGAGAGAAAAATATACAAATGCACGTTGAGATTGACGTAAATAAAATAAAAAGCATTAATAAGGCCAAATAAAAAAAGATTGCTGCACTTGTTTAGCGTCACAGGCAACAACATTTTAGGTAGGTAGGGCGGGGTTTTACTAATACTACAGTATTCCACGACTCTGTTAGATTAGATGCCATGCCTGGCACAATATGCTATACAAACTCACACATACCCGGCCACTAAGCATGATCCTACTGTTCATTTGTACTTTTTAACATTACGGCCAAAGTAAATCAAAGCAAAGAATTGTTCCAAAAACTAAATATTTTCAATTTCATTGTGAAAAGCAAGTGTTAAAATCAATCATTTTCAATAAACCTACAATAAATATTGCACCTGGTGTGTGAAATAATTGTTTTAATTAAATATATTGCTTTTGATTACCATTCTTGGACAATATTTATTTTTTTTAAAGTTAAAATTAATCAATTAATTAATTTGTATTTTGGGTTAAAAATTCAGGTGGGTGTGGTGACACTAAACAAGTAGGCCTATATATTTTATTTTGGCTTATATTGATAGACTTTTTTGAAATTGGCCCTTCTATCCGACAAGGAAGAAGGCCCATCAAATCAAACTTAAAGACGGAAAAAATATTGGTGCTCCAGTCTGAGTTGGTTCCTTTGATGTGTTGTTGGCATCTTGAATTAGTTCTTAATAAGCTATTGATGTTTGGGAAGTGTTATAAGACGTAGTAATATAAGACGTAGGTACTTCGCGCGTGTCATCGGAGCAAGTTTGTGGTGGCGCCCTTCTCTTTTCTTCTTTGAAAACTTATCAAAAACTTCAGATCGGGTTACTCAATTACAAGCGCGAGCCAATGAAAAGGTTCGTTGTCAAACACGTTCTGTCATTTAGCAAGTGGACTTGATTGCGGTAGCAGGGCTGGTGTTTCCTCGAATTCCGCTCTACATAAGTCCGTCTTTGCTACAATTGATTTCTGGGTTTTCGTTGTGCGGATTCAGCCTCTCACGGAGTTGTTATAAAGACAATTTTTTTCGAAGTTACTTTGACCATTCTAATGGGTGTCTGATCACAGATACATTCAACATGAAATCTACCATACTCGGCATTTTGGCCATTCTTATCTTTTGTCAGCAAGCTGGAGTGAAATCGCAGCCACAAGTCGTATACGATACAAATAACAATTATGTAGAGGAAAGCGAAACAAATGATCTGGGATATGCGGCATCAACTTTAACGTTTGTATTCGACGTTACTGGTTCCATGTACGATGACTTGGTACAAGTTATTGAAGGTGCTGCAAAAATTCTGGAGGAAACCCTCTCAAGACGAGAACAACCACTCCAAAATTTTGCTCTTGTTCCTTTCCATGATCCAGGTAAGTTTAAATTGATTTATCCTTTGTTTAAATTGAATCAGTAATAAATTCGTATTGTATATCATTTCTGTTTTTAATTATTGAATATCATACATAATTTTTTTGAATTTTGTATTCTTGAAAGTTTAGAGGATACCTGCATCATGCGTGGGGGCTCCGTGTGGTGTGGCACTCCTCTGGCCATTTTCTGATTTGTGATTTTTGTGTCGAATATAATAAAAAAATGATTTTCCACACTCGTTGCAGGGGCGAATCAAGAGCCCTCCCCCCCCCCACCCTTTTGGAAAGTTAAAAAAGAAAAATATAAAAAATTGATAGCACAAATCGCCTCGGAGGTTATTTTCGGGTGTCTAGATAACAAAATCCTAGGGTGGTGTTATCTCCACCAGTCCCCACATTGTGCATACCTTTTGTCCACCCTGACCGATTTATAGTGCTACTGTCATTTTCTCCACAACTAATGACAATCAAAATATGATTCCCAACAATAGTCGTTGGATTGTAAGCCTACCCAAATTGAAAATTGAATTACATATTATTAAGTATAAATGTCTTTTTCCTTTTCAAGTGTTTATCTCGTAGTGCTTGTTTAAAAAGTCTGAAATTCGTTCAACCAATTATCCTTTAAAGTTTTTTTTTTTTATTACGTTGCTATTCTTGAAAATTCTACAAACTTGCAAAGGGTTGAAAACTTTATATTACAAAATCTATTCTAGCGTTTCTGCAAACATTTTACTTCACGTCCTCCTTAAGATTCTAGGCACCAAACGTAGAGGAAAATATGGTTTTAAACGGTCGTTATTAGATTGTACTTGCTGGCCAGGCTGATTGTAAGCCTACATAATTGAAAATTGGATTAAAAATGATTACGTAAAAATGTCTATTTTCCTTTTCAAGTGTTTATCTCATGGTGCTTGGTTGAAAGTCTGAAATTTTTTCAACCAATTAAAAATCATTCCAAGTCTCGGCACCAACTTACCAAAATCTGACAAGAAATTTCAAACATAAAAATTACCTCTGTGTTCTTAAGTATGATATATTGTACTGTACAATAATTTGTTATCTGTTCTATTAGTGACAAAAGTTTTATAAACTGCATATTCTCTATATCATTGAAGCAGTTTCACAAAAATAAATCTTTTATGTTTTTCTTGACCAAAGTCATTGATTGGTCAAAACAGTTGTTTTTGCAATAGTTTTTCTAAATAGACATGTTCAGACAGTGTGGATCACCATGATGATAAAGTTCTATTATTTCTCTGCAGTGGTGATATTGTAATTTTTTAGGTTTGAATCAACAGAAACATGTTGTGGTTACTTTTTAGGTTTGAATCAACAGAAACATGTTGTGGTTACATCAACAGCTTTTCTATTCTTAGATACTGGAATATGAAATACCACCATTTAAGGCAGATGTTTGCTGCCAGGGCCCCAATGGCAGGGGTCTAGTGCCTAGCGTAGTCAAGTGACAGTGCCCATGGTCTTCCTGCCTGTACCCTACCATCTTGGCTTTACTGAGGGGTTTTTTCCCATCTAGAAATAGCCTGTTGTATGTGATAACATAGAACCTATTTATGTATCATATTAAATAGGGTCAGTGGTGATTCTTTGTAACACTTAAAATAGTAACACAAGCAACATTTGTGTTTAAGTAAAGCATCCAGGCGAGGTGACACTTGTGAAAAGTGGTGCTTCATTATAGGCTAATCTGATTTGAGTCCATTGTGGATGAGTATTGACTTAAGGGGATTATCACTACATCTTTAAAACCCCACTTCCTTCTGTCTTCTAATTTGGGCTTTGTTAGGTTAAGTGTTTACTCATGGAGTTGTGCTAGAGGAGGCTTATCAAGATAGAAATCTGTTCGACAGGAATCAACGGACTTGAAAAGGATTGTATGATGTTTAAAGGTTTTATCGTAATTTTCAAAAGTTCAGGACATATATATCACAGTGAAAGAAAATATTGATGAATGTTGTCATTTTGAAGTCTTATTGGATCATTATAATATTTCAAGAGGATGTTTCTTACTTGCAGTATAGTAACTTAATATTTTAATTAATATTAATAAGTGATCTTCTCACCACAGTCACAAAGTAGAAGTAACATGAATATTTAAAATAAAGTAATATATATAAAAATCAAAAGATACTTTGTTGATTGCATTTAATACTGTAGGTAAAATTTGCCTTTCAAATTTCAGTGTCATTTGTTGCAACTTTTGCTATCTTGTCATTAAAATGATTTAAAGATTATTGAAATTGAAAGTATCAATTTAAATAACTTGTTTATTACTTATTTGCTTATGTAAAGTTCTATTATATATTGTGATAATGGGGTCAATGGTGTATAAAGTACAGAAATTTAGCCACTATGGGGGGAGCTATAGATCTGTTCCATCTATCAACACTACTACTGTACATTGCGATCACAATTAATTTTGGAAGTTAAGCAGATATATTTAATAGTTTGACCCACATTAGCTGTGTACTTTGCGATAGAATTAATTGGTGCTTAAATACGAGGTAGAAACATGATTTCAGATGGATACCAACGAATTAAGGTATAATGACTTGTGATTGGCCAATTAATAGTTTTCACATCTGTGAAGTTTTGATCATTTGTGAGGTAACTCACACACATAGAAGTTGATTATGGGGGTTGTTTTTTGTTTTTGTTTTTAAGGATGATGATGTATAGTACGATAATAATAATCATAATCATCTTAAAAAATATACAATGAAAATTATATATATCAATCTACTTACTATTTATCAACTGTTTACATTTGCTTGACTATAATCTGGTTGTTTATTAATGACATCATCTTTTGGCAGTCAAATAAATTATTAAATAAATTATTAATATATTATATTGAATTGTATTTATTTGAAATGATCTTTATAATATTTATACTTCTATCTTAATGTGTTAATGTTATTATTATTATGGTATAATTATTCCATCTTTTTTGTTATAATGATTTATATGCTAATGATGATGATATCACTACCCCACCACCCTCACCTAGAATACTTTGTTATTGTTATCACTGTCTTGAAAATTGGATATTACTATGAACTTGTTAGGACCATTAAGACACGCAGATGAGTCTATGGGAATTTTATGAGTAGGATAGCCAACGATACCACTATCACTTGGCTTTGCCTTGACCCGCTTAGGGTACGTTTAGTATCAATTGAATCCCAGTATGTTGCACGCCAAACACAAATCCTTACAATAAGTACTTCCTCTGACCCTAATACGATTCCTCGACCCAGATATTGTCGCATGGCCTGTGGATATTGTCATTTAAACTTGAAATTTAATTTTAATACCCTATTTATAGAAATTAGACTATTTTCTAAAACTAGCATTATTTTAATAATTATTATAAATTAATATTAAATTGTCATTATTTATAGTACTGTAGGCCTATTAGTATTACTGTATTATATTATAAATATTTTAAATTTATATTAGTATTTTTGTATTATTATTTTTATAGTTTGCAGTATTAATAAATAATATTGATTTATTATTAATAATTTAAAACATTTTAAATATATATTAGTATTTCTGTATTAAAATTTTATAGAGGGAGTATTAATAATAATAATATTATTAATTATTATTATTAATAATACATTTATTAAGTATTATAGTGATTGCTTTTCAAACTCTTACAAGCTTAGTTATAAAAACATTAACACATCTAGAAATTTCTATATTGTGACTTGCTTGTTTATGGAATATTATATTCAATAGAGTCACTCTTAAGTTGGTTGTGTTACTTTTGAGTCACCTCATTGTCCCTTGTTAACGTCCTTGCACTGTTTTAGTCTGCACATGTGTATTAAGCACACTTTGTATCCTGTACTTTTATGTGGGGAAAGTGCGTGGACAAAATGACTTATGGGAAGGCAATAGGATTCAGGTGCAACAACATTGATAAGATAGGATGAGTGAATTCTAATGTTTGCAGATGACAAGTTAAGACAATGTTTCTGAGATTTCAAATTTGTAGATATAGAGTATTGTTATTATTTCATTTATTACATTACACATTTTATATATTTATTCAACTGTCCTTTATGAGGGTAGCTCTTATAGCAAGGCTGACTCACAGAACCCCTTATAAAAAATGCAATACAGTACATACAAAGTAAACACAAGTAAAATACAAATAGCACATTGAAAAAATAGATTCTCTATGAAATTTAGATAAATTTTAATAAAATATAAAAGTTATTCTCGATAATTAATAATCATCAAAATTTTAATTTTATTTGTATAAAGACAATCTTTAGCTAGATTTAAGCGCTTATTAAAGTTTAATTTTTAAAAGAGTAAAATGTATGTTTTAATTGCTGTTCAACCTCAGTGGGGGGGGGGGGGGGGGGGTGCAGGGACAGGTCAAGCCCCCCCCCCATTAGACAGAGCTCGTCGGACTAAAAGAAGTATATAAACAGGCCCAAGCCAAGCCAACACATGTCTGTCACAGTCAGAGAGTGTCATTTCTGGCCATTCAAGGTTATTATTCTTAAAAAATCTCATTTGGGAGGGGACCCCTCTCAAACCCTTCCCCTAGCTGAGGCCTACGAGCTCAAATCCCTCTGTTGGACAGCTCAGCGCCTGTCTCTTATACACATCTAGATAGTGAATTATAGTATTATCAATGGTGTAAAGAGAGGAGAAATTATAATCGATATGGTAACCTCAGAGCAAAATTTATAATTAAGTTGTCAAATTCATTTGTTCAAGCTGAAAAAAGACATTTCAAAACATCATATACTATATGTTATTTTGCATTGCTCAATAAAAAAATTGTTTTCTACCAACCATCCATTCCCCCTACCTGACCCTAAATTTTTAGATTATAATCAGGTCGGACCTGAGAAAACGTTCAGTTTTTTTTTTTTGTCTTTATCATGCTGTTTGTAGTTCTTTGGCCTTCTCACCTATTACTGAATGCTCTCTGACTGCTGTAAAAACTTCGAATGTTTTAATAGCAGAACTGTTTGTAGATTGCTTTTCTCTTAAAACAATAACATAACATGTTTATTAAATTCCAGAGAACTTGACAAGGGTAGTTCTTGTATGGTTGAAGATGACCCAATAAAAGTGGAAACGTTAAATCATGGCCTCCCTCTCTTTAGTTCAAGTTTTAACGTTCATTATTATGATGCCTAGCATTTTATAACTTTTCCTGACCTTAAGAATGTTATGTCAATGATGGCTGCTTTCTTAGAAAGCAGATGCAGATAATTATTTTCCTTATTTCTGTTAGTTGTCAACATTGTTAAGAGTAGGTTTAAGATTACCAATGAGATAGGCAATTTATTCTCTGACTGACTTTAGTGAAAGTGTGAGGCAATTACATGGCCAATAAATTTCAAGCATCAATGCTTACATGCAATGGTAATATGCACTTATGCACTATTGATTTATTTACTTATTCTAAACTACTGTAATGCTGACATTTGGGTCAAAACTTTTAACAAATTGGGATCTCAGTGTGGAATTTGTACATTTTTTTTTATTTAAAAAAATAAAATACTTAAGTTGCGGTTTATTCACCTTTTAGCAATCGTAGGTGTGAATCGTACCCAACAAAGTATTATAGCTAAACAGTCTGTGCTTACAAAAACAAACACACTCCATCAATCCTTACATGCAATGGTAATATGCACTTATGCACTATTGATTTATTTACTTATTCTAAACTACTGTAATATTGACATTTGGGTCAAAACTTTGAACAAATTGGGATCTCAGTGTGGAATTTGTACATTTTTTTTTTATTAAAAAAAATTAAATACTTAAGTTGCGGTTTATTCACCTTTTAGCAATCGTAGGTGTGAATCGTACCCAACAAAGTATATAGCTAAACAGTCTGTGCTTACAAAAACAAACACACTCCATAAAACTATCTGGAAACATGCTGGTAATGACACTTTGAAAACCTAACTGGTTTGTTTGCGTCCCAAAGTGCCTGTCAGTCAAGTTCACCAGTGATTTATCACACCGGGAGGGAGGATAAACCCAGAGTAGATTTCCTTCACCCAATCACCTGCTGCTAAATGATTCCATTCAGAAGCCCAGTGGAAGAATCCAGTAGATCTCAATCCAATAACAACATATACAGTAAATTCTCAGGTAAGGCAGGTACTGGCTAGCGTATGTTATCAGATTTTTATCTATAAAAGCCTTTGTCCAAACCATCAAATTTTATTTGACTAAAACGTGACATACCTAAATATGGTCATGGTGACATCACATCATGACCATATATAGGCACATCATGACTATATATGGGCATACAACTATTTTTTGTCAAAGAAAATTTGATAGTGTTGACAGAGTTTATGACTTAAACAATGTTTGATCAGACTTCAAGAGTGTGAACTTGTTTCTGATAAATCTGTTAAAAGAAAATGTGTAGCTTTCAATGGCATTTAAAAGTTGGACTACACTTCATATCTGTATATTGAGTCTGACAGATCAAAAGATAATTTCTACTATTAAACATGAAATGTACAGTAAGCATTTTTAAATAAATGTTGACAGTAGTGGATCCAGAATTATGTTGCTGGGTGGCACGAGTGACAATCAAGGACCTAAAGACCAAATGAGGAGGGGATGTTCCCTTACAGTACCTGTTGTAAATTCAAAATCACAAAAAATTGTATACATTGGTTACATCCCTACCACCCTAGGCTAAATAATTGAACTGATTGATTTCTGATCTTCTGATCAGACATATTGTAGTTTATTCAATGTCAAAAACATAAGTCAAATCATAATAAAGCGGATACAAATTATGATATTTATTGTTTTTGCTGCATGGTATACTTTAAAATTATGTAATATTTTTGTCTCCGAACCAACTAACCGAAATATTACATTACATTAAATTATACTGTATGCCTGCCTGTACTAATTATTACTAATTATTAAAATGTATTCTTTTTTTTATTTATAAGAAAATGTCTTTAATTACCGTATTTCTTTGTTTAATTTTAATAAAGAATAACAATTTTCAGGGTTCATGGAACAATAGCACCCAATATTGAGTACAAATAATCCGTACTTCTCCCATCCCCACAAAATATTTCCAACATCCTCCGACTAATAATCTCAACATGACGTACTAGCTATTTTTGCAGGGGTAACAGCTGATAGAATATACAGTAATGTAGAACGAGGGCACAATTTCTATGGTTCAGTGTACACAGAGTAGTTGAACACTCTTCAACCATCTGAGATCAGTGGCGTATCTAGCAGTATTAAAATGGGGGAGCTGGTGGGGGGGGCGCGACCAA